CGTGAAATACCAAATAGTAGCCGGGGTGTTTATTCGTTTCGATCACTTAAGAGACCAGGCTTTTATTTGAGACCAGGCTTTTATTTGAGACCAGGCTTTTATTTGAGACCAGGCTTTTATTTGAGACCAGGCTTTTATTTGAGACCAGGCTTTTATTTGAGACCAGGCGGCATTTTAGTAGGGAATCGGAATACAATAGATGGTTCCCAAAAAACCCGGAAGTGCGAGTTCGGGCACCAGCCAATCAGCGAAGAGTCATACATTCTGTGTTGGCAACGATTCCCGAGATCGAGGATTTAACGCCGGAACAAAGAGAATGTTTGGTGAATTTCATCCAGGGGAAAGACGTTATTGCCCTTCTTCCTACTGGATTTGGGAAAAGTTTAATATACCAGTTAATCCCTTTAGCGCTGCATTACATACGTCACGACCAAATAGCAGTGATTGGTTAACTGAAAAAAAGGACCCGCCTACCGTCAAGCAAACAAATCTGATTTCTACGAAGTGAAACCAGCTGATGAATCAGGCTAGGGAAAGGCGAATAATTCCTTTCTCAAAAAAATCTTGGGAAAATGTGGTACTCAAATTCTTTTAACCAGTATGACTATAGTTCAGTTTTTTTGGTGTTATATACGATGACCTGGCGATTACTCTGCCTACTTTGTCGTCACGATTCCTGCCACCTCGGCCTTTCCATTTTACGCCACATCAGCTACGATGACGTTTTTGTCTTTTTTTATTATTTAGTTTTTTGTTTTTGTTTTTTAATTTATGTTCTATGTATTACTGTCCGAAATAAATAAACATAATAAATAAATGACTTTGCTGCTTTCTGCGAACTGCCAAACTGAAGTTATATTACCAAAACAACTAAAAACTGCTTCCATTTCCTGCCATGTTGCTCCATCTTTCTTTTTTTTTTTAACGTCATTTCGAAGTAGGGATTTCACAGCAACGTCACTTTTTTCAGGAATGTGAGGGATGATCGGAAGCAGCGAAAAGAATATAGCCTATCCATTCCGAGTCACACAACCAGTCTGGTAAAGGCGGGACAGAACTGAAGTCAAATTGCTCCTCTGTCGGCTGTAAACATAACACGTTTTATGGTGTCGCTGGACTAATCATGATATTTTGGTTAAATAAAGCATAAAAAACAGGAAAATACAGATATAGACTAGTTATATCGGCGTTTATTTGGAACTGGTGGTTATTTATTTAAATCTACACCTGCACTCGGTCTTTAAATTAATTGAAACCAGGCTATTATTTGGAATTTTGCGGTATTAGTGCACCTTTAATATATATCTTTTACTCAGTTATTCTGTATTTATATTTTGTATACAAAATTGTGAAGAAACGAACAACATCTCTGTATATTTCTTCCTTTACTCCTCCTACAACAAATATTACTACTACCACTACTACTGCTACTACAACTACTACCACTACTACGTCAATAAATACTTGTAGTCTAGTCAATTTGAACTCGCTGAAACACTTATATAATCAGCAGGTTTAGGGACTGTAGCCTTGCATGTAAGAGTCAGGATTCCCACAACAATAACAACACAAAATCGCTGCACACGGCACCGCTGCTGTTGCCATGGCGCCCAGGACTGGTAATTGTACACATCCACTCGCAGGTATAGAACCGCAAAAGTCACGGCCCCGTGTCACTTAAATTGAAAAAAGGATGCAATTATCTGCGATCTCTCTCCCTCTCTCTCTCTCTGTTTCTCTGTGTTTCTCTTCCATCCTTGTCTCTCTCTCTCTCTCTCTCTTTCTCCCGTTCATTCATTTTGATCGTGTTTCCCTTTTCGCTCGCTCCCTCCTCTGCTCGCGTGTTAAAAATAGAGCTCCGCAGACACCCTGACAGCATCTAATATTGTTGTGGGGAGAAGATAATGAACAGGCTTATGAGTTCTCTACAATGCCCACCGCGATAGAAGACTCCAGAGAGACGGAGAGAGAGAAAGAAAGAAAGACAAGAGAGAGAGAGAGAGGAGGAGATGGGCGGACTGGTAATAGATATAATAGTGATAAAAATACAGTCTCCTAGCTTCTACTGTTGGCAAAATGGGCTATCCACGCCCGCCCCTGCCCATCACGTCTTATTGTTTCGCGGAGGAGAGGAGCAATGGCTGCACAGCTCAATGGCATTCCTACACAATGGAGCATGAATGAAGGAGGGATTACAGAAGAAGTGGGTTAATATTTCCAATTGAAGTAAATGATAGTTTTGGTAGACCGTAAATGCACGCAAAGGAGTTTCCCTTTTTTTGACGCAGTTGCAACAGGCTGGGCTAGATTCAGTAAAAATGCTTTGACTATATTTTAATAGAGTGGATATCTCCCATTAAAGGTGCATTGTGGAACTTTTGACACTTAGACTGCAGATTGAAGTGACCCAAATCCGATTTTTTCACCCCTATATGACCTGTATAAGATCTTTTAACGACACAGATCCGATTTTTTTCAAATGCGACCCAGGCCACTTGTGTATGTGTTCCAAAATCTGATACATATCCGATCTTTTGGCACGCGACTTTAGTCTGAACGGCCAGGTCGCATTCATCCCACCTACATGTCAGGCTCGGAGTCTAGTAAATGGAGGGAAAGCGAGGTTGGCGAGTTCGTTCAGATTTGGAGGGATCGCTGTGTTTAGGCCGAAATTGGAGGGGTCTTATCAGAATCGGGTGGTTTCTGAAACGTCGGAGTGCGGCGAGGGGCGGTCCTGGCTCCAATGTCAATGAAAATAAAGAGCCTGCGAACCAAAAACAAGGAGGATAAAGACTCAAATAAAAACGAAGCGGCCATAGACGTGTAACCTGTCCATTTTACGAAGAACTGGATCGTATTTTCAGAGACAAGTTCAGCATTTAGGCGTCATAGGGACACTTTTGGAGCATTTAAAGTTCACACAGGAGATCACATACGAGTCGCAATTAATGACAAATGTGAACGACCTCGCAAAAAAATCGTATTTCGCAAAAAAAAATTTGAGCATTAAGCCCTGCAGTCTGAACGTAACCTTATTTATGAGACACATGACGCCAAATTACAGGTCAAATCTGAGGAGGATTTTCAAGTTTTTCATTGTATTTTAGAGAAATAAAATCATCTGTAGTAATACATGCAAAATTGAGAAGTTTCATGTCATACTGTGGAACATTCTAAAGCAAATCCATGCAATTTTGATGAAAGTAAGCAGGTAGCGGACCCTCCGTAGGCCTAACAATATTGTCAACAGTTCATCCTAAATACAAATAAGGCAGATTTCCATACATACATTCTTAGAACACATCAATTACAATGCTGAAATTTGTTTAACTGTTGCATTTTTTGATTACATAATGTTAGAAGTTAAGAGAACCTTTATTCGTCTGATTTCAGTGTTGCAACTTTAAGTACAAGAGCATAAGGAGAGTAAAAATGCGCAGTCCAAACATCTAAGGGGAACTAGAATGCCGGAAAGAGAAATGACATGTAATTTCTGGTCTAACGATATATATTTTAAAGAGAGTAGATTAAAAACTGGACGACATTTGAGTCCGAGCGTGTCTGAAAGTGTGTTCCCAGAAAGAACGGCAGCGAAAAGCACAGAAACGCGTTGAATTGTTGCGCGGGAGAGACGGACTGGTGCAGTATTGGAGCTACGGAGGAACCCCGCTGCAGTCAGATAAACATCACCACCCCCTCCCCTCTCCCTCTCTCTCTCTCTCTCTCTCTCTTCCTCCTCCTCCTCTCCTCCCTCCATCCCTTCTCTCTCCACTCCTCCTCCTTCTTCTCCGCTCGGTCTCTGGCTTTCTCATTATTCATCAGCGCTCTCCCGGTCCACCACGGCTCCAGACCACCGAGCCGAGAGCCGCCGTCGCTGGTTACCGCTCGGACCTGTTTTGTTTTGTTTTTAAATTTAAACCCCGCTTTCGGACACTTGTTTTGGGCTCGCACGGGGCAGGAGACGCCCCCCCCCTCGCGCCGACAACCATGGAGCTTTTGAGATTTTTCTACTTATTTCCCTGCGCTCAGATGCTGCCGAGCGCACGCCACTGCTCATTTCGCTGCTGAAGAGAGACGAGGAACGCAATAGGAGAAATATTTTGATATCTTTTTTTTTTTTTTTTTTGTTTTACATCATTTTTTTTACCCTTTGCTTTATCGATTCCATTGGATTACAGTTCTGGCTTTGGTTCGGAAGGAAAGAACGGGATCCAAAATGCCTGAAGCAAATTATCTGCTGTCTGTTTCGTGGGGTTACATCAAGGTAGCTACGTCAATTTTTGGGATACCTCCATATTGCAATCTCAAATCTCTTCTCTTAATGCTATAACTGCTCATCTAAACTCATTCATTGCAAGGCAGATGTTTAAGTTGAATGCCATTATTATGTTTTATTACAATGCTATGGTTGTGTGGTGTATTGTGGTTTGGGTTCCACCATCTTAGCCTGCTGCAGTTTCTCTGTGTGTGTGTGTGTGTGTGTATGTACGTGTGTGTATATGTGTGTATGTCAAAAACATCCCTACTGCAGTGGTTGGTGTCTACTGTCAAACGCATCTGCTCCCCCCCCCAAGTGTCTCAATCACCCTTTTTACAATCTAGACGACATTTTTATTCCGTTATTTCATTTATTGCAAAGGGAGTTATGACAGATCGCCAGCTTCAAAGCTCTGGGAATTTTCAGTGACGCAATGAAACAAGCTTTTAATGTGGCGCTCGTTGTCATATGGCTGTGAAATGGCTGCAGGGGGGGCACCATGTATATGTAAAAAATGACTGCCCGTGCAAGGTTAACACAAATAATTACCCCGTTAATGAGTTTGAGTGAGAAACGAGGAACACGGGGAGGGGTATAAGACACAACCTCCCCACTGAGTCTATGCTGTAATTATGGAAATCTTCTCTTCTTCTCTGGCCACGCGTGTGTTTTCTATGAACTGTTGTAACGCGTTATGTTTCCCCGATCTGACCATGGGCCCTTCCTCTTGTCTGTTTTGCAGTTCAAGAGAATGTTGAACCGGGAGTTGACGCACCTCTCGGAGATGAGTCGCTCCGGAAACCAAGTCTCCGAATTCATTTCCAACACCTTTCTAGGTAAAGACCCAAGCCGATGTACACACAACACACGCAGATCACTTTTCCAACCACAATTTTGCACATGAAAAAATCCAAAAATATGATAAAAATGTCTTCAAAATGTGTTCAAATATGAGGTATCGTGCATAAATTTCCATTGTTGTTGACCTGATTGTTGGGGTTCCATTTTTTCGCAATGCTGTTCAAATTGTTCCTGCTGGTGTGGGGGCGTACCATAAAATACTGCGCCATCAAGCTTTGTCTAGAAGCTGGATTTGCGAAATAATAGTCAAAAAGGATTTAGATTAAAATATTTGCAAATTTAAGCCTAAAAATTGGATTAAATGCGTTTATGTGACTGTTTTGAGGGTTGGAAATTTGATTGACAGGCCTGTAATTGGAGCAGTGGATTTGGACGAGACGCTGTCATTGTTTCAGAATTGGGTTTGTAGAGTCCATTACACAATTTGGCCTATATTTTATTTCGTAATTTGAAAATCATTGCACAGTTTTGGACGAGCCGCTAATTAGTTTCATATGAGTGACTGCAGACTTTCCTCAAGAAGGTAATGTCCTCAAAGATACCAGCTAATGATTACCGAAGCCAGTGGAAGCCGAGGCAAGAGAGCTCTCCCCGCTATTTATAGGAAACTGGGATCGATCGGCCTCCCTGCTTCGGTGCGGGGCCGTCGGTAGCTCCTTCAGCCCCCGATCGCGGAGAATGCGCGGTGGGAGGGGCGAGTTTTTGGGCGACGGGAGGGGGGGAGGTATAGGAGCGGAGAGGTACAGAGGGGACCCCCTTTTTGGCGCCGCGAGCTGAGCAAAGCGGGTGAGTCATAGCGATTTGAATGCATCTGGATTGGGCAGGGATACCGCGCAGTTGGCCGTCCCCCCCCCTCCTCCCTGTGAGGTTCACCCCGGGAATCACGGCGCTGATAGACATCGCGGAGATAAGAGATCAGGGATGTCTGCTCGCTGCTGGGAGGAAAGGAAAGAGATGCAGGGAGACAGAGCTGCAGCTATAGTGTGAGGAGTGAGGAGTTGGGAAGTGACTGAGCAACCAGCCTGTTTAATCTTAAGATACAGTACGTAACACAACATGATGCACTTAGATCATTTTGTTGGAGATGTATTTATTTCAGGGACAGAAGTTTAGACATTAAATATATACATGTAAATAAAGGCAGTAGTGAGACAATCACATCACAAGTGAAATGCATTAAAGCTACAGTATGCAACTTTCTGGAGGTGGCCTGTCACCTCTGTTCCAAAAGTAAAAACCAAACTTTGGATCATTCACATTTTTATGTCGTGTTATGGAAGATAGCCAGAGGAATATTTCCATAGAAACAAGCAGATGGACGCCCTTCTCCAGGCCAAATAAGAGCCAGGTTTGTGGAAATGCGAGTCTGCTCAGAGAAATGAGGCATATTTTCCACTTTTTACCATGCAAAACAAAATAAAAACAAAAAAAACAACAAAGAAAACATGCTTTTATTTGAGCTGATTTGACTAAAAGTTACATACTGTTACATACCGCCTAGCGCCTCCACTCAATTTAATTTCTCTCCAGCGACTAGGTCAGGAATCGAAATACACTAGACGGTTTGCAAGAACCTCGGAAATGCAAGTCCGGGCACCAGCCAATCAGCAAAGAGCCATACATTCCCGAGATCGAGGATTTAAAGCCAGAACAAAGAGAATGTTTGGTGAATTTTATCAATGGGAAAGACGTTATTGCCCTTCTTCCTATGGGATTTGGGAAAAGTCTAATATAGCAGTTAGCCCCGTTAGTGGCGTGTTACATATGTCACGACCAAATAGCAGCGATTGGTTAAATAAAAAAAATACCCACCTACCATTAAGCAAATGAATTCTAATGCTGCGAGGTCAGACGGTTTCCACAAAGTGAAACCGGCTGATCATACTATGGCTTCAAGTTTAGAATGCACGAAAAGCATATGAAATAATAAAACCTAAATATTTCATCATTAAAAAAGGCAGCCAGTTGAGTTGAGTTAAAAATGTATTGTCATTAACTGCAGTTTGAATCTTGACTGTTACTGTGTCCTTGTGCAATGTAATGATGCAAATTTTCATAAGAACAGCACTATTTTTGTGTTTCAGTAACAGTTGTCAATGTTGCAAATTCTTAAATGAACTTAAATTGTTTAGACAAGGTCAGTATCTATGCAAGGTTCAAACTTCTGTAATTCAATGTTGCAACAGAAACATCGAAAAACACCCTTAATCTCAATCCGCTCACGAAAATGGACATACAGGACGCGGTTTTGACCAAAGAAGGCCGCACGCCGTCCCTCTCATCCTCCGACACCGCTGCTGTGTAATCATAATTGTCTTTGATGGGCCAGTAGCTTCAGAGCACGCCCAGGGAACATGCAAGGAGGGCAGGAAAAAAAATAAAACAACCCCCCCTTTCCTCCTCCTTCTCCTCCTCCTCCTCCTCTTTCTGTAGCGCATCTGCATCTCACAAGAGGCTCAAGGAGGAGGATGAAAGGATCGGGACGGGACCAAAATAAACGTATAAGCAGGGCGCAGAGGAGGGGAGAGGACAGGAGACGAGGCAGAAGCTAGTATAGGTTTGAGAGGTTTGAGGCTAGATGAAATGGTAGTTAAAGTTGTGTTTGAATTTGTACGGACTCGGCCAAAGTTTGTTATATATTTTGTGGGAATTAAATTAGGAAACATAACAACTGGCCTTCATTACAAAGTTTGACACCATTTCATGCCTGTATCTTAATAGTTTAGGGTTTATTCAAGAGTTTATGCTTAAAAATGTACAAGTAAACCACCGTAAAATAACAATTCAATTAGTAGTTTCCATATTGTCTTAATGCTTTCACAGCCTGCCTATGGGAACACGTAATTATCCATTTACAACTGCGAGGATGAGGAGGCCGAGAGTCATTGAGAGAGGCTGAAAAATACTGCAGGATAGAGAGAGGGAGAGAGGGAGGAGAAGGAGAGATAGAGTGAAAGTGATTATTTGAATTACAGCTTGTAATTGAATCAGCCTCCGCAGTGGGAAGGCTCCTAGACCAGCACTGAAGCGAGTTGTGCAATGATAGATGGTGCACTTAAGAAAAAGCATTTAAGCTGGATGCCGTGGCTGTGTATATAAGGAGACAATTCATTTTGAAGTGCTACCAAAATCAGAACGTATTAGACAAATATCAGAAGTGCTAAATAGTATAGAAGGCATTGGGTTTTGGGAGCACCACGAAATTTAGGACTATTCCAGGCTTAAAATTGGACTCGACAAGAAACTGCCCTAATGAAGACCAAAAACATGCATTCCGAATGTGAACGGGGATTGCCATTCCACAGATCTTACCTCTGTCTTGGGCTAAAAGTGTCACTTGTCTGTCTCCATGGATATCTGGATACATTTAAAGCCATATCGTGAAAAATTCGAAGGCAAAGGAGGACGAAAAATGCATTCTTAGTGAGAACGGGGATTGCCACTCCACAGATCTAATCTGTAACTTGGTCTGAAAGTGTCACCTGCCTGTCTCCATGGAAATTTAGATGCATTTAAAGGCATACAGTGAAACGTTCAAGGCCAAACAGAACCAAAACATTCATTTTTACTGTGAATGTTTATTGCCACTTCACAGATCTGACCTGTAACTTGGTATGAAAGTGTCACTAGCTTGTCTCCATGGATATTTGGACACATTTAAAGCTATTTAAAGAAACATTTCAGGCAAAAAAGGACCAAAAACATGTATTCTTACTGTGAAAAGGGATTGCCACTCCACGGATCTTACCTGTAACTTGGGCTGGAAGTGTCACCTGCTTGTTACCATGGATATTTGGATATATTTAAAGCCATACAGTGAACATTTAAGGCAAAGGAGGACCAAAATATGCATTCTTACTGTGAACAAAGATTGCCACTCCACAGATCTGACCTGTAACTTGGTCTGGAAGTATTTAGATACATTTAAAGCCACACACTGAAACATTCAAGAACCAAAAAGTGAATACATTTTACTCTATTGGACTGTAGGACCTTGCATACCACCTGAACAAACTTCCGTATCACTGTCGGTCCATGCACCACAGTTTGAGAAACCTCGGTATAGAAAACATAATTGGAGCCGTTAAAAGTTCACAGTCAAAACGGCACATTTTGTCTTTGAAAGGGCCGCCGGCTGAGCGTAAGAAAAGATAACCGGAAAATAAAATAGTTTGAATAAAACACAGAATACATGACACGTGAAGAGTGAATGTTGCTTCACCTCAAAGGAAGCCACCTGCAGTGTATCATTTTACAGTGCACCTGGATCCGGACTTTAACAGGCTCCTATTTAACAAACACATTTTGGTCTTATGTAACCGTCTAACCCTGTGGTCGTGAAGTACACTACTGCAGATTCTCTCTTAAGTAAAAGTACCAAAGCCAAAGCAGAAGTATTATAAGTGCATTTAGTACACATATCTAAAAATTAAAAAAAAAAATTTTTGTGCGGGGTGCCTGCTTGTCACCATGGAGATGTTATTGCTTTGACTGGTAATGTTCCACAGTATGGTATTAAACTTATCTATCTCGCATTTATTCAATTACACGTGTTTCATTGTGCAAAAATATCTGAAAAAACACTGCTGGAGTTGCTTGTTTCCATGGCGATAGATAACTTTAACGTCATCTAATGGAAATTTCCATGCAAAGCAATAATAATCTCAACGATCTCCTCATCAGAAATGTTGCATAGTGTATCTTTAAGTAAAGTATAGATATCTAAACATTAACAACTTTATTATTTTAGGACAAAAAGATATGGGATTTAGAATGATGAGAATCTAGGACCAATAAACAATTTAAAACAAAACACTACATCTTCTAAATGGGAAAAAGTCCTCAAAATAGGAAGCAGAAACCTATGAATACCTTCTATGTGACCAAATAATCACATTTGTAGCTGTTATTCTTAAAAAGTAGACACATTTTGGATCACAGATATCTAAAGATTTTACTTACATTTACCGTTTTTCTCTCTACAGATAAACAGAATGAGGTGGAAATCCCGTCACCGACCTCCAAAACACGCGAGAAGAAGAAGCAGCAGAAGCAGCAGCTGATGACTCAGATCAGCGGAGTGAAGAAGGTCTCCCACGGGCCCTCTCTGTCCAGCAGCAGCATCGCGCGATTCGGGGTCAAAACCGACAAAGAGGAGATGCTGTCTAAAGAGCTGGAGGATCTCAACAAGTGGGGCCTGAACATCTTCACCGTGTCTGAGTATTCCCACAACAGACCGCTCACCTGCATCATGTACGCCATCTTCCAGGTGAGAACGACACCGCGCTGTTTCCGTGTTTCTCAACTTCTGTAGATTTTTGAATTTACAGAGACTTCTTTTACGGTTTTTGTCCATCGTCATTGCTTATCCATAGTTTAGTCCCATTTTAGACCTGGTTTTGTCTTGAATCTGACCTCATAAAGTTTTGGTTTTACTCAGAAAGCCAAACATGATCTATTTTCTCTTTTGGCTTTTCTTTTAAACCAGTTGGACTGATTTTTTCCTACAAAATTCTCCAGTTTATTCATAGTAATTTTACCTAATAAACTTTACTTTTCCCCACCCACTGCTCCCATTGGTCAGCTTTTGTAAGAGCTTTAGTCAGAAAACTTTATTTAACTAATGACTATCTCTTAATTTTAATATGAATAGTTTTGTTTACTTGAATTCTATGTCTCATTTTTGCTCTACACACCTACTCAAAGTGCACTACCTACTCACCACTCATTCTAACCTGAACCTTTCCTTCTGTTTGTAGGAGCGAGACTTGTTAAAGACATTTAAAATCCCGGCGGACACGTTTGTGGCGTACATGATGACATTAGAGGATCACTACCACGCAGATGTGGCCTATCATAACAGTCTGCACGCTGCTGACGTCGCCCAGTCCACTCACATCCTCCTCTCCACCCCGGCTCTAGACGTAAGATCTCACTTTTAAAGATTCACACTTTGTAACTTTCTTGGTAGAGGAGGGTCCGTTACCTGCTTGTTTCCATGGAGATGGAATGTTACACAGAACAGCCTTAAACTTATCTCTGTTGTATCTGCTCAGTTACCGTGAAAACTAGGGCTGGATATCATTAAGAAGTTGCCGATACAATACATACCTTGATACATGTTAACGACAAGATACAATTTGGTTTGATACGATGCATTTCAGTTCGTTTTGATTCGGTTCAATAAAAAAGTAAAGGCTAAATCATGGCTGTGATAGAAAAAGTCTTTGTTAAACCACTTCTTGTGCAAAATGAATATGAAACACGCCAATATTAATCATCAAAACAGTGAAAATGTCAAATGTGTCACATAAATAAAAGAGTTAAAAGAGTTTCCTTCCTCTGAACAATCAACAAAACTATAGCTGTAACAAAATAATTTAGTAAAATACACCAAAAAATAATCTTGGCAATATATCAATACAGCAGTCCATGATATCAACACTGTATCATCACATTAATATATATTACACTATACGATATATCGATATTTAGATATTTTTGCACACCTCTAATGAAAACTATGCATTCTAACTGTGAATGGGCTCGCCTCTCCACAGATCTGAGCGAAAGAGATATGTTTAGTGCCACATAGTAGAGCATTACAGACTAGGCAATAACATTTCCACGGAGACAAGCCGATGACGCACCTTCCACCAGAAAAGCTTCATAGTGCAGCTTTAAATCTTTAAATCAGTTTGAGGAAAATCTTAGTTTTATTATTGTGCTATAAGACTCTCCTACTGTCTCTCCTGCACGCATCTACGCAATAGGGAAAACTCTGTACTTGTTAAATAATTATACGTGCTACTAAAGACTCTAGCCCCACTTCCATGGAATCATATTTTCCTTTTGTCTGGCCTTCCTAACACTGCGTCACAGTACTGCATGAGGAAATGTCTCGCAGCTTCATTTATTGGTTTTTCCTCTAGCAAATACTTTTTAGGCTTTTATTATGGTTATATGTGTGGTCGATTGTGACTGTTTTATATAGAAGTAGAAGTACTAAGCCCAATCCAAAATTAGCCACGCGTTATAGCACTTACACAACTCTTTGGCAGACTGAAATGAGTCTGGATTTTTTTTTTCATTTAATATTGTTCCATTTGTGGTAGATTGGACTGTTTTTACATCGAACTGAACCTAGTGCGAAATTAGCAACGCGTTATGCCACTTACATAACTCTGGCAGGCGAAAATCACTTGGCGTTCCATAACCGTTGTCTTTGTCTTTTGTTTTTTCGCAGGCTGTCTTCACAGATCTGGAGATTCTGGCTGCCATCTTTGCTGCGGCGATCCACGACGTCGACCATCCAGGAGTATCGAACCAGTTCTTAATCAATACGAGTGAGTCGAATATATGCAAACACGCACGGATGAAGCTCGTACGTAGCTCTGTGCGGATTTTCTTCAACGTTGTATTGATTTCTGCCCAGATTCCGAGTTGGCGTTGATGTACAATGATGAATCCGTGCTGGAAAACCATCATTTAGCTGTGGGTTTCAAGCTGCTACAAGAAGACAACTGCGATATCTTCCAAAATCTCACCAAAAAGCAAAGGCAGTCGCTAAGAAAGATGGTTATCGATATGGTAAGATATAAAAACACTGGATATTAACACAATTTCTCATTATTATTTAACTGTTTACTAAATTTGTATATAATTTTTTCCTTTAGGTTTTAGCCACTGACATGTCAAAACATATGAGTCTTTTGGCCGATCTGAAGACGATGGTTGAGACGAAGAAGGTGACGAGTTCAGGAGTGCTATTGCTGGACAACTACACAGACAGAATACAGGTAGGAACAGTGGTGTAATGTTAGTGTGTATAAAATGAAGTATAAAATAAAAAAAAACCTGAGATTGACAGGATTGCTATGCTTGTTACTTAGAGTTTCCAAAGGTTTGTTATTTTAGCATAATCTATATTGTTGTTTGTTTGTAGGTGCTGCGTAACATGGTGCACTGCGCAGATCTGAGTAACCCCACCAAGTCCCTGGAGCTGTACCGACAGTGGACAGATCGCATCATGGAGGAGTTCTTCCACCAGGGGGACCGTGAGCGCGAGAGGGGCATGGAGATCAGCCCCATGTGTGACAAGCACACAGCCTCAGTGGAGAAGAGCCAGGTATGCACAGCTCCTTTTAGCTCCCACAGAGATGGATGAGAGGGCCAAATATATATTCACATGTTCCCCATGACTTTAAACGGCTGACACTCTGTCTCTGTGCCCTTGTTGCAGGTGGGCTTCATCGACTACATCGTGCACCCGCTGTGGGAGACATGGGCAGACCTGGTGCACCCCGACGCCCAGGACATCCTGGACACGCTGGAGGACAACAGGAACTGGTACCAAAGTATGATCCCACAAAGCCCGTCCCCACCCTTCTACGACCAGGGACCCCACGGGCTGAGCGCTGGGCAGGGGGGGCAGGGAGGAGGGGAGAAGTTCCAGTTTGAGCTGACACTGGAGGAGGAGGACTTGGATGGGATGGATAAGGACGGAGAGGCGGAGGAAGAGGAGGAGGAAGAGGAGGAGGACAGTCTGTCCCGCTCCCCACCTCTGGACTATCTGGACAGTCAGGAGCAGGACAGCATAGAGCCCACCACTGCAATAGAGATCGTGACCCATGAGGCGTCGCCCACAGACACATAGGGCTCAGTGTTTTTATCGCTTTGAGGTTTGAAAAAGAGGAGGTTCCTCTTGCAGCTGAGCTTTTTAAAGCCCACAAAGGCAAGGCCTTAGTTTTAGCCTGACGTGGTGGTCTGCACTTGGCCGTTTGAAGCCGGTTTGGAACGGACTGTTTTTGTAGGAGGAGGCTTCAGAGTTCTCAGGAAATTCTTAGTGCGAACACTTGGTTTGTGGACACGAGACTGACGGTGAACTTGAAGGATTTTGGCCAGTTTGGAACATGGTTATTCGTCTATTCTGGACTGGCATTAATGGACAATGACACTACTGAGAGATGTTTTGTACCTTAAGACTTTTTTACAAACATGATATGATCTAGAAGTAGCATATAGTAAGATCTACTGATGGAGAAGTTTGTATAGAAAGAGTGTTTACTTTTTTCCTGTACCATTTGTCAAAGGACTTTTGTGTGCCTTTTTTACTATTGTCTTTATAATAGTTTTTTATTTATTGAACACTCTAGTTTGTCTGTGAAATGTTTTCTTTTCTTATCCGAAGAGCAAAATCTTTTTGTATGTTAAATACCAGTCTTCCATGTATTGGGCAATAGAGAAATCCAAACAAACGTCGACAAACAACTTTGGACAAACTCATAGAACACAAAACCATTGTTAAGTTTGAAGTAGGAGCACAATGTTTCTGTGGTAGTCATTTTCATGTACACCTCATTATGTACTTTTAGTTTGAGGTTCTGCAAACACTGGTGCTTCTAACCTTTTCACACCAAAATTCAATCTTTGATGCAAACTTGAGAATAAAGTAATAATCCATAACTCCATGTATCTGAACACCTGCTGCATTGAACAAACCATAACTGAATGTGAACCTTGTGTTTTCTTTTGGTGTGGATTGGAGGGAAAACCACTTCAAACATTCACTGCCCAAATCGACTAGTTTTAAACCAAAAATGAAATATGATCTCCAAAATCACGATGGCAGCCTGGGAAGGTCAAATGCACAAGATGAGAGTGTGTATTTTTAGCCCACAGGTATGCTACACTTTGAATAATCTGGTTACGTGGATATAAGACCCCTCTGTAATCAGGGCAGCCCCATGATGAGAGCTGGGGCCCCAAAGCTCCACAGACTCTGGCCCGAGACAATCAGGACGCCTATTTCCTCCAGAGCAGAACGAGCCTCAAGTGCTGCTTCTGCTCATTGACGTCAGCAGAGGTCCCCCTCCCGCTCCTCTGTTTCCAGGACAGTCGGGTTTTGGGGATTAGGCACCAAAATATACAGTAGGCTGTGTTCAGAACACTTTGTCCACAGTCTTTTAAAACAATGTTGCACTAATTTAAGCAGCTCCAGCAGAGAAAGGGCAAATGTTTGAAGGGTCTGCAGACCTCAGCTTGGTCGTGTTGGTTTGGGTTTACTGGTAAACTCTAAGGTACTTCATAGTCCCATCAGCATGCACCAGTCACACACACACACACACACACACACACACACACACAGATGCATTGAACACTGACTGTCTGTCTGTTATGTCTGACCATCACTCACCCTTTGTCTCTACTGTTTGTCGCTAGGAGCTCAAGTTGGTCCTTTTTGCTGTTTATAACAGTGTGTATTTATTCTATACTTTAAGCTTGTAAATAAGAAATATGGTTCAGTGTAAGATCTATTTTAATTTATATGCACTTGCATTACCTGGAAGTGGTGGTGTCTATGTGTAGAAGACTCGGACTGAGTCTTTTTATATATGTATTATATATTGTTTTATATCTATATAAATATATATAATTCTAAGTATATATTCGCACAATATTTGAGTGCCCGGCAGAGCAGCAGCTAAAACATCACAGTGCTGCTGTTACATGAACACTCTGTAGCTCCAAAACCTTCATTTCATTTAAACTTCTCTTTTGTTTTTACAACTGCCTCAAACCTGCATGTTTAAACCAAAAAAATGATATCTTGTCACACATTATTTATTGCTTTGGACATTTTATTATAATTATTATAATATGAATTGTAGCTAATTGCCAAAGTTTTGCAGTGTACTTTCTATGGGGATGGACCAACTCTTGTTTTGGGGCTTCAGAGTGTTCGTGTGGCAGCATCACCATGGTAACCCAGAGGCGACATAGAGGACATGTTAAACTGCATAGACATGGATATAGAAAACGTATATTAAACGCCTATTGCTTAGTCCTAAACCTACAGTAGTTTCTTTTGTCTCGACCCTAGCTTCCTCATCCAACAGTTTGATTGCAGATTGCTGATATTTGAGGCCAGACAGTTGAATAGACACATCTTCACTTAAGGCACTTGATGTAAAAGTAGACACACAACAGCGTGTTGTTAGCATGCTACAATACGCCCAGCACTAAATCTTATGTATCTGATTGTGCTAATGTGTGAACTCTCTCTGACCAAACTTGTTAGCAGTTTTGAAATTCAAATTTGTCAGTATTAACATTGTTTATCTACGTTTAAGCTTTTTCAGTCCTAGTTGTGTCCAAATGGTTAGCCAGATTTAGCACTATCTGCATGAAAGATGGGTTTTTTAACTGTCAATAATATGTTCCAGTCCGCCAGTTGTTCCAGGTGGGTTATTCAATGTTTCACACAATGTATGGTATTCAATTGTATATTGTGTTCAAAATAAATCTGAAATACTTTTTCTATGAAGTGATTAAAAGCAAAGCATGAATCTACTTGTGTTTGTCCTTTTCTTTCTCACAGATATGGGTCACAAATTAAAACACTGGGTTCAGGAAACTGGGTCACATGATTCTAGATCATTTGGACGTGGGCAGATACAAAACAGCTCCAGAGCTATTTCATCATAGGAGTCATTAGTAATGGGTTGGTTGGTAATAGTACATATGTATACTTTGTTTGCCCACAGTATCCAACCCATCATTGTTATATTTACTGTGTCATTTTCTATTTAACAAATTGTATAGATCAAAATGAGTGATATTTTATTGCACATTTGAATCCCTGTAAATAATAGCTTGATTCATCAGCCGGTTTCACTTCATGGAAACCATCTGACCTCACAGCATTAGGATTCATCACTCAACGGTATGCGGGTACTTTTTTTTATTTAAACAATCACTGCTATTTGGTTGTGACATATGTAATGCACCGCTAGCAGAGCTAACTGGTATATTAAGCTTTTCCCAAATCCTATAGGAAGAAGAGCAATAACATCTTTCTCCTTGATAAAATTCACCAAACATTCTCTTTGTTCCGGCTTTAAATCCTCGATCTCAGGAATCATTGCCAACACAGAATGTCTGGCTCTTTGCTGATTGGCTGGTGCCCGGACTCGTATTTCCAGGGTTCTAGCAAACCTTCTAGTGTATTCCGATTCCTAGGATATTTTAGTTCATAAAATCAAATATTCCTTTGTTGTTTTTCAGTCTGATTTTCCATATTACCGTATTTGCCACAAAACCTGTTAAAGGACACTGTTATTGTCTACTTTATTTAAACAAGTCATGTAGGTCAATACAAAAAAACGAGAGACTAAACTAAGGGACTCTTAAAACAAAACTAAATCATGAGGGTCTCAAAATAAAGTCAAATAAACCCACAAACAGAATCAGGTGACAACTAAAAAGACACAAAACAGAACTAAACTAACCTAACAGAAACAGATTGTCTCAACATACACTAAGTCAGACTTGTACAAGCACAAAGGCCAGAAGCCCTGAACAGGCGTTGTGACCAGAGGCGGTGCTACTATTAGGCAAAAATAGGCAGTCGCTTAGGGCCCCTGAACCTGGAGATTCAGGATTTGACGTATGAAATGCACCAAATCCCATAAGAAGAAGGGCTACGACTGGATAGGGCAAACATTTATCTCTCTCAGGTTTTTTTTTCTCAATAACAATGTTATGTCTTTATGTCAATGTTAGTTATTATCCACTAATACTAGATATTTACCAGCACAGACAATGGCACGTCCTTCACTAGAACACAAGAGATCCAACTGGGTAATGCAAATGTATTGTCTCCTTCAAATCACTAATGAACAGCTCAAACATTATGAGAAGTTCTATCATGGAACTGATACCTGATCCAATTCTGATTCATCAGGCAGTTTCACTTCATGGAAACCGTCTGACCTCACAACATTAGGATTTGTTTGCTCGATGCTAGGCGGGTACTTTTTTATTTAACCAATATTTGGTTGCGATGTACGTAATCTGCCAAATCCCGTAGGAAGAATAACATCCACATTCCCTTGATAAAATTCACCAAACATTCTCTTTGTTCCGGCTTTAAATCCTCATTCTCGGGAATCATTGCCAACACAGAATGTATGGCTTCATCCACATCCATCTCGACCACTTTGTTTACTGTTGTTGGCCGATATGCGGTCTACAACTTCCGGGGTTCTTGCAAACTGTCTGCTGTATTCCGATTCCTGACTTAGCCGCTGGAGAGAAATGAAATTGAGCAGAGGCACTAGGTGGCGCCAGCCTGGCTAAGAAGTCTGTAGATTACAACATAAATCATCATATTAATTCTTGCTAGTTCCCCGTGTGCATTAAATATTACTGGTCTATAGAATGTTGTGATGTTATCTGAATTTTCTGTCATCTGGAGCTCTGGCCCCTTTACAAATCACTATTCTTTTTCCACATGATTCAGCAACATACAAAAGGACTTTAAGCCTCAATTAAGATCAGTGAGAGCACTTCTATTCAATCAATCCATAATACAACTCAAATCCTGCTTAGTTAAATGGGCCGTTACCATGAGAACTGCATTCATTTGACCGCAGTGACCCTGAGTGATCTGACGGTAGCCGTGGTAATATTGATTAATCATTAGGCATGTCATTTGGAGCTAACTCGGAGATGTGATCGAAGCAGCTAAATATGCAGATGCTGTAAGAAAATGACATTCAGCCAGTTAAATAGGAAAGCAAACAGGCAGGTGGTCCAAGGAATAAAGAATAGTAATGTATTTAAGATAAGAGAACCTTTACACAGTGACGTCTAGTGTTGCAACTCAGTTTGAGAACCACAAGAGAATAGAAATAGGCACTCAAAAATCAATATAAATAAATTCTAAAATCGACTTTTTAAAACAATTTAACACAATACTGTAAAATGAAATAAAGGCTTAAAGCACTATTTCTGGAAGTGCTTGTCCAAAACTGGGGAATGCTGAAGAGGCTATTTTTGGTTTACATTTTTACTTGTCTGTTATGGAATAAGAAAGCTTTCAGAAAAAAAAAATAAATAAATAAATAAATAATATATATATATATATATATATATATATATATATATATATATATATATATATATATATATATATATATATATATATATATATATATATATATATATATATATATATATATATATATATATATATATATATATATATATATATATATATATATATTTAAGGTTATTTAGTTGGTTGTCCATTTAGAAATTTATTAATTCATTCAGAAAAGCAGTTGTCTTATTTTTCTTATCACTTCCCACCCATAAAAAAAACAAAACAAAAAAAAACATGGTCTCCCTGCAGCTGAAAATAAAAGGAGATGGTCAGTACCTGGCGTAGAGCGGCTCACAGCTGGCCTGCTCCTGGATGTACTGTACTGTTTCATAGTTGTGTGTTTTGTGTCAGTGCGGCTTGGTCACGGCTCTCGCTCTGATGAAAAGGAACGTAATGTGACACGGACTCCGCAGCGCTTCACCCACGATTGTCTGTCAGTGACATAAGGATTTCACACCACAGCAGACACATAACACAGGTATAATAGTACACAAGCTATACGTCTTTTCTCTTGCGTTTATTAATATGCAGTTATTATAAGGGGGGGAAAAAAACATGCATTCTTTCTATGAGCGTCTTCACAGATCAGACCTGGAATTTGTTCTGTTGGCATCACCCACTTGTCAGCATTTAGATAAATAGTTTGATACTGTGAAACATTCTTAGATTTAGAGAAGTGAAAAGGCAAAAGCTGATATCAGTGTATTCTATTTACAGATTTCATCACACTAAGGATACGTTCAGGCTGCAGCATGAAGTGACCCAGATCTGACTTTTTTTCGCCCTCTGCGACCTGGATCTGATCATTTAATGACAGTCTGAATGACACAGATCTGATTTTTTTCAAATGTGACCCAGGCCACTTGGATATGTGCTCATAAAACCCATACATATCCGATCTTTTGACATGCGACTTCAGTCTGAACGGCCACGTCACATTCATCCCACCTACACGTCAGACTCAGAGTCTAGTCAATGGAGGGAAATCGAGGTTAGCGAGTTAATTCATATTTGGGGGGCTGTCGCTGTATTGAGGCCAAATTGCAGGAGTCTTATCAGAATGAAATGATTGCCAAAGAAATGGCCGAGCGCAGCTACAGGTGGTCCTGGCTCCAATGTCAACCAAAAATAAAGAGTCTGTGAGCGAAATACAAGGAGGATAAAGACTCAAACAAACAAAGAGACTGTGGAGAGTGTTGGGGAGTAACAGATTACATGTACCGGAGTTACGTAATCAGAGTACAAATTATGAGTAACTGTATTCAGTTACAGTTACTGTTTCAGTGAGTGGTAATTGGATTACAGTTACTTTGTTGAAATAAATGGATTACATGTTCCTTTTCGGTAATTCCACTCATTGCCGGAAACTAAACCAGGTCTAAACCAGGACTAAACCAGGACTAAACCAGGACTAAAACCAGGACTAAACTAGATCTAAACCAGGTCTAAAACCAGGTCTAAACCTCTAAACAAGGTCTAAACCAGGTCTAAAACTAAAGGTCTAAACCAGGAAACTAAAACTAAACAGGACTAAAACCAGGACTAAGCTAGATCTAAACCAGGTCTAAATCAGGTAAAACCAGGCCTAAACTAAACCAGGACTAAACTAGATCTTAACTTGACTAAACCAGTCTAAAACCAGGTATAACTCTAAACCAGGTCTAAACCAGGACTAAAATCAAGACTAAAACCAGGACTAAACTAGATCTAAACTAGATCTAAACCAGGCCTAAAACCAAGTCTAAAACTAAAACCAGGACTAAACTAGATCTTTACTAGATCTAAACCAGGTCTAAAACCAGGTCTAAACCAGGACTAACAGGACTAAAACCAGGACTAAGCTAGATCTTAACTAGGGTCTAAAACCAGGTCTAAAACCAGGTCTAAACCAGGTAAACAGGACTAAAAGGACTAAGCTAGACTAAACCAGGTCTATCTAAAACCAGTGGACTAAACCAGGACTAACTAGATCTTAACTAGATCTAAACCAGGTCTAAAACCAGGTATAACTCTAAACCAGGTCTAATAAAACCAGGACTAAACTAGATCTTAACTAGATCTAAACCAGTCTAAAACCAGGTCTAAACCAGGTTTAAACTCTAAAACCAGGATTTTAACTAAATCATGCCGTGCGGACTGTGTCTCCTCTTCTATTAATAATATTTTTAATACAGTTAAGTAAAGTCTGGGCTTTTTATTTTCTTTTAGCAGACAAAAAATCTTATGTTACGATATCCTAGTCTTTGCTTCTCTACAGCAAATCAAGTAATCCAAAGTATTCAGATTACATTACTCACTTTAAATAATTTTGTAGATTACAAACTACATTTTGGTGTGTGTAATCTGTAATCTGTAGGGGAATACATTTTAAAAGTCACCTTCCCAACACTGACCGTGGAC